TTTCAGGAATAAAGTTGCTACATATCTCGAGCAATGTTTTGGGCCAAGAATTTCAGTGCTTGGCCCAAACCTTCCATAAATTAAGTTATTTGCATGCCAATCTTTTCAGAAATTAATTCATTCTTTCTTCTACTGTTTGATGTTTTCACTTAACACTGGTTTTGAGATGTGCCTGGGGTTGCTGCATTTTGGACTCCACATCATCATTGTATTGTAAAATGAGCAATGGGTCAGGGAGCTTCTATCTACTTTTGTAATGGATGCATCTAAATTTTCCTTCTAGACACTGTCAAACAAAAAATCCAGATCTCCAAAATCGAATTGTATATCCATTATAGGCCTGAAGATGGTGGTAAACAGAACTTTTTAAATTGCCAAGTTTTGAAGTATGAAATTGTAGCGGAATGCCATTGAAAATGAAGGTTATATTCTAAGTCAGAACATGTTAAAAAAAGTCTTAAGGGTCCATCCTTAAGAGTTTACTTAATATGTTCTAACTATTACTTAGCTTACAATTTTGCCGATATAATAAGGAGCTCATGTTTTTATTATACATACATAAATATCTGATAAAGAACCTTTAAGGTTTAACTGGCCAACATAAATCAACATTTTTGTTTCAAACCATCCTGGTGTTAGTGTGCTGTTACTTATTTTTACTTTTTGAATCAAATTATATACATGAGAATTGTTATTTTTGCAAACATTATATTTATATATTAATTTTTTTTTGTTATGCTACATTTTTTTTAATAAAGTTATTTTGATTATATGGCATTGTAATGTTCATTGTTTCTGCATAGTAAATACAAAATATTTAAATTATTGTTTTTTCATTATAGCATAAATGATACGTTTATATTGTAAATTATTATTATAATTGCAAAATTTGCATTTTTTTATTTACAATAAATGTACAATGTTTGTAATTATAATGTTATTTTGATTACAAATGCTATGAACATTATGTTATTTTTGTTGTAAAATATATATTTGCGGGTGCCTTAAGTTTTTCCCTGACCTAGAGTCAAATAACTCAAGTTTTCTTTTGATGTTCATTAATATTTGTTAAGAGAATGAAAACAATTCAATATTTTTAAATATCAAAGTAAATTTAATATATCTGCCAAATTCCTTCAACATAGAGCATTTGTATTATTAGAAATATAGTGTATGAAAGTTATACTATGGAAATGCTACATGTATGTAGGTAGCAAATGGCCACCCACAGATAATGTTAAATATTGTTATTATAGTTGTGAACACTATGTTTATTTGTAAACCTAGTTATTCATATATATGTATTTTTGACCAAGTAATGCAGGGTTTGGAAGATGGAAGGTTAAAAATTTTCTACTCCTTGCAATATGGTAAAACTTACACATGACTGGTTCATTAGATGATGAATAATTCACAGGTGCTTAAAATACTGATAGCTGTTAATTATTTTTGTAAGTGTTCATTGTTACCTATAACTATGTAAATTGCATAATAACATTTGAGCCGCGTCATGACAAAACCAACATAATGGGTTTGCGACCAGCATGGATCCAGACCAGCCTGCGCATCCGCGCAGTCTGATCAGGATCCATACTGTTCGCCATCAGTTTCTCTACTTGTAATAGGGTTTGTAAGCGAACAGCATGGATCCTGATCAGACTGCGCGGATGCGCAGGCTGGTCTGGATCCATGCTGGTCGCAAATGCATTATGTTGGTTTTGTCATTTGTTTTTTTGTGGAAATAGATGAGTATGTAATGTAATAGGTACATTTGTATTGTTTGAGAATTTAACATTATGTTTGTTTTATGTTTTGTTATTGTTCATTATTGAAATTTTCACCTTTTCAGACATTATGTATATTATTTACCAAAATATAACTGTTATTTTGGAATACGATATAGATTTAAATGACATATGATATGATATATAATGTTCCCATATATATTTATATATTGATTTGTTATGTACTTGTGCATATTGTATACTATGAAAATGAGTAAAATATTTTTTTAAGAAATTTGTGCAATCACATTGGAACCAGTTCAAAATTTTAATACTGACTTTATAGATATATCATTATGAATATTATTTAAGTATTTGTCTGTGATTTTAAGGAATATTATGTAAATTTAAAATATACAAATTAATATATGTATTTATAGTTATGTATAGCTAATAAGTTAACACATAGCATTCTCTTATAAAAATGTTCTGTATTTACTTTTACTTTACACCCATAAATGACCTTGTCTCAGAAGTAGATCATAAAACGACAGAATATTTATTTAATGATATTTATTTAGTGTTTTGTATGGAAGTTAAAATACTGCTTTGTTCACATCTTGCTACTTTCATGACAAATAATTCACATTCAGCTCTGCTTTGTTCAGGTGATAAGCATCTAATATGCCCTAACACCAGTATTTCAACTTCATGAAACTCATGTAGAAAAAAATTGTATCTCAGGCATAATTTACTAGACTGAGTATTAGAGCCAGTGCAATTTTGTTCGTTTCCTCAAATATTGCTATTGTCAATGTTATTTACAGATATTGAACTATTTATTTCTGCCTACCATTACAAGTATGATGTTGTTTAGTGGAATAATACATGTTTTAACAAAATATGAATTTCTTCTATGGTGTATGATAAATTATTTTGGTAAAATAAATTTTTTGAAGAACAATTAGTGATTCTGTTTTGAATGTATTAAATCCCTGCTGGTGTGTATACTTTTAGATAATGGCAAAATATTCAACCAGAGATGCCTCCCAGCTTTGCTGTAATAATGCACTTAATTGTCCTATTTGATAGGGGAAAAGTGTGAAGCATGTTACAATGTTATATTAATTATTATAAGAAGAAGCAGTATTGACTGCCATATCCCTCACCTAGTAGGTAAAAAAGCAGAAAAGTTACAAAAGATGACAGTTCAGTGTCAGATACTGACATTTAAGTACTCATCAAAGAGAAATAACTTTGAGAACAATTTAGCAGGGATACCTGAGCAATTCACCTTTGAAGTTTCAAGTTAATATCTTAAATATTTTTAGTCCCCTACCGGTTTACCGGAGGGGACTTTAGGTTTACCCTCCGTCCGTCTGTCCGTCCGTCTGTCAGTCTGTCCGTCCGTCCGTCCACAAAACTGGATCCCGCGATAACTTGAAAAGTACTGAAAATATTTTTATGAAACTTGGTATATGGATAGATGGCAGTATGGAGATTATGCACGTCTTTTTCTTTTCTTCCTATGTTGAAAATTCTGGTTGCTATGGCAACAAATAGGCTGAAAATATGGCAAATTTTACACATAAACTGGATCCAGTGATAACGCAAAAAGTACTGGAAATATTTTTATGTAACTTGACATATGGGTAGATGGCAGTCTTGAGATTATGCACGTCTTTTTCTTTTCTTCCTATGTTGAAAATTCTGGTTGCTATGGCAACAAATAGGCTGAAAATATGGCAAATTTTACACATAAACTGGATCCAGTGATAAAGCAAAAAGTACTGGAAATATTTTTATGAAACTTGACATATGGGTAGATGGCAGTCTTGAGATTATGAACGTCTTTTTCTTTTCTTCCTATGTTGAAAATTCTGGTTGCTATGGTAACACATAGACTGAAAATATGGCAAATTTTACACATAAACTGAATCCAGTGATAACTCAAAAAGTACTTGTTCAAGTTGTCCTCTGTATGAAAAATAACAAAGGGAAATAACTATAAAATGAAGGGTAGAGTTATCATTCTTGTACATATCAGTCCTGCTCCACAAGATCTACCGTATGTACCTACAAAGTTTATTATTGATATATCAAATATTTTAGTTGTGCTGTGGAGAAAAAAAGGGCAGTAACTCAATCCACAGAAAGTAAGTATGAAAAGAAAAAAGGCCATAACTCCAAATCATCCTTGTACACTGTACTCATACTTAATGAGATCTATCCACTTATGAAGTTTCAAATTGATATCTCAAGTAGTGCTCTGGACAAAAATTAGAAGCCCTACACTAAACTCAGGTGTAGCCAGCATTCTAGATGTAGAGTCCTTGGCCAAACATGTTTTTTATAACAGGTTATGCGGGATTTCATAAACATTATTTTGACAAAGTTTATCTTAATTATCAAAACGGATAAATAATGATCAAACAGTGTCACATAATTTTACCAAAAGCTGAATAGACACTAATCATGAGAAAAAATTAAAACAATACAATAAAAGCAGCTAATAGAATGGCCTGTTCTATGCTCGTCTCGTTTCATATGGTAAAATAAATAATAATAAAATAAATGCTATATACGACAGTATATAGGAAATGTTCAGAAATTGTCAAATTTAGGCTTTCTCATTGATGATAAAGTGGGAAAGACTACATGGTTTTAAAAATTACATGGAAAATGAGCAATTTGATACAGCATTGAATATCACAAGACTGCTGCTGAGGAATTGTATTCTAGTGGTTCTTGTTTCATTGTTATTTACCACTTCAACACAGAGTACTGCCAAGGATATTCACCTCTTTCACGTGAGAAAGCTATACAGCTAGCTTGATGAATGTTGGTTCTCGTAAATGCCTGAAAAAACTAGGAGAGGTGCTTGCCTCTTGTGTTTTCCTACAACAGCAAGTTTGATTTCATCATATCCCTAAATTCCTAAATTTAACAATAGCGCAAAAGTTTTGGGACAGTAATCTTTTGACAAATGAATCTATGGGGCCAACTGACGCAGCTGTGACTTTTAAACTGACTGTAAAAAATCAGTAATAGCATAACTTAGTGGTTAAGGTGTCTGCCTCTCAACCAAGCAATCGTAGGTTTGAGTCCTAACGGATATATTTCCTTGTGACACTAGCATCTTGGTTTCATTTTTGAAGCAGACTCAAGAGTGATTCATTAAGCTTTCATCACAAGCTAAAATCAATAAGTTTTAATTAATAAGCAGTGTTGATTTCAAAATTGCCTGATGGAACGCAAAAATAATAAACAAATAAATACATTTTAAACCAAAATCTTTTATTTAGAGCATTTAAATAATAATTCATATAATGATGTCTCATATATTCATTTTTCTTGTCACATTTGTAGATTTTTATATAGAAAAAACAAAGTTTCTTCAACTGTGTATTTTACAGTATAAAGTGATAAGAAAGCTCTTCTATTAAATATCATTCCTATCACAAACACTTTGTCTTATATCACAAGTACTTACATGCATACACATACACTACATTTATAACACATCGATGAAGAATTCAAAATGAACTTCTCACATGAAGAGAAAAAGTTTTTGGCGCACTAATTTTTGAGGAGAATAATTTGGAGTGAAATTTCATAAATTGTGTTTTCCTATGCTTTTTTTCTCAAATCAGTTAATATCACAACATGATATGATTCTGAAACCAATTCCAATGTCATATTATCCTTGATTATACAAATGTACTTAAGGGGAGATAAATTAACCATTTTTTAGGTTAAAAATATCTATTATATAAATAGGCAAAGATATTATAAGCATAACAAAGAACTTGTGTATTATATATTCTCCCCAGATCCCAGAAATTACAGAATGAACTAATGTGTGAGAATGACAAAATATGTACATGTATATCACAGGTGAAACATTAGCACAACATATATAAACTTATAATACAAAACATGAAAATCAACAAATCAAAATGAGGAAAATGTTATATATTACTTCAAATTTATAAACAAATATTGTAAAAATAATCTGAAACAAAGGATTTGCTTACAGTAGAGTAATTGTGTCAAACGAAGCTAACTTAATATACTGCAATCATACACAAGTACAAGCTTATCACATTTAGACATACACTTTTCTTTAATAACAGGTAGTATAATTGTTTATACTGTAAAATTTCAGCATAAGAAATAAATAAACTCTAAAATAATACCTGTATTCTGACGTGATTGGACATGCCTTTATGACATGTTCATAACAAATAAATGGACACAATGAATTTGAGCAGCGTCATTACAAAACCAACATAGTGCGTTTGCGACCAGCATGGATCCAGACCAGCCTGCGCATCGGCACAGTCTGATCAGGATCCATGCTGTTCGATACCAACTCTATTACAAGTAGAGAAACTAATAGCGAACAGCATGGATCATGATCAGACTGTGCGGATGCGCAGGCTGGTCTGAATCCATGCTGGTCGCAAACGCACTATATTGTTTTTGTTGAGACGCGGCTCAAATGAATTTAGTTATAGACACAAGCGTAGTAAATTAACTAAGATGTCACATTAATGCCACACTGAATGACTGAATCACAACACAAATTTTATATATGGCCGGTGTCTAGGTAACTATCAAAATACTCGTTACTATGGCAGTTTTCATTAACAACAACTCACATATTAACAAAACTGAAAGCTATAAGTTTTTGTAAAAACAAAATACTGTCTCTGTAACTGCTTTATTTCTGTAACAGCATGATAGTTTTCATCACATCCTAACAACATTATGAAATCTACCAGAATTCAGGATCTGGGGTGTTTTTTGGCAAACTAATCATTCCCAGAAACTTCAAAGTTTGTATTGTCAGAAAACTTTCTTTGTTGTTGATATAGCAACAGTTACCATGGCAACATTTCACACTACAGATGTGTCATCATCATCATCCCTACAAAAATAAGAACAAGTGGTCACCATCATTTGTAATTGTTAAGGCACTAACTTTGGAAATATGCGTAGAAAATAATTAAATTGTCAAACAATATCTATAGATATTAAACAAAATAAATTAGTTTGTATTGGTTGATGTATATATTAAATAATAGAAAGAGCACCGAAATTAAATAATAGAAAGAGCACCGAAACACGAGGCTATCTGATTTGCATGAGGGGGCATATCCCCCGAGTATAAATCAGATTGTCAAGTGTTTTGGTGCTCTTTCTCTTTTTGTATCGTAGTCAAACATAAAAACATGTTCCCTGTTGTCACAATATGAAACCCCAGAAAAAAGTAACCAATGAACGAGCATTTGAATATGATATTTTTGCCGCTTTCCCTTTCTCTGCCGTCACAATAAGTAAACCCCTGCAAAAATGAACCAATCAACAGGCATTATCTGGAGTGCGGGTAACTGATACCTGCACTCCAGTTACAGCACTGTGCATGTATATGTATACGATTTAACTTTGGCACTTTTTCAACAGAAAGGTCCCCAAACTATGATACAAATATATTTCAAGTTACTGTAACAAAAATTAGTAAGTAGTGCTTGATGGTTTCTATTTTATCTTAAATATCAAACAACAATCTTTGGGCAGGAGATATTTTGAAGAAGAAAAAATTGTTGGCCTGAAATAAGCTTATACTAGGCTGTTTACATTGCCAAGATTTGGTTTATCCACTTAACGGTTGTTACTGTACAGTCCTTACTGGAAGATTCTGCCATTAAGGTATATGGTCACTAACAAATGACAAGAAGAATACAGGTGACTGATGAATGCATAGAAAACATTGCCAAATTATAAAGAAAAGTACAAAAATCTATATATAGATTCAGTGAGCTTGGATCTTAGAGGTCAGTAAAAAATGCCTTAATACCTAACATTACACTAAACAGATATTATTAGTTATAAATATTTCTGACAGGTTATATGGTCCTATATACACGGTTGTTTTTAAATATAACCCAAGCCGCTAGGTGAGGGTTATATGGCAAACAACCGTTTACATATGGCCATATAACCTGTCAGAAATATTTATAACAAATTTATAATACAGCAAGCATCATTCTTAGAGGAATAAAGCGAGATTTCTTTATAAATCGACTGTAGCCGTGTATATAAAACTATATAAACATCATGATTATCCAATGAAATGCGACGTTATAAAAGTGCAGTATTATGATAATCAATATCCATGGAGGTAAAAAATAGCAAATACCTTTTGAATCATGGCTACTGCTATAAGCAGTAACACAATGTTATTGTAATTAAATAACATTCATTACCCACACCGAGGTTCTTTCAGTTTAATTGTTATAAAAGTTAGGGAAAATCCTTCATTAAATTTACCTAGAGTTACCCGCCCCTGTCTGAGTAAATTCTACCAGAGGGCCTCCTGAACTACTACTTTCATCATCTGTCCCTTTAGGAGTTGCTTCCCTTGAGCTCTCGCCACTTGAGGGCTCTTCTGTTTTCTCTTTCTTTGTTTTACTATTTTCTCTATCTTTCCACGACTTTGGTTGCTCACCCTTTTTCGTCTTTGACTTGCTGCCTGTTTTGATAAATTTAAAATGTGACTTCAATATGAAAGTAACACCTACAATAAACATGTCTTCTCATCATCAACCTATCCATAGACAAGTTATATTATTCAAAATGATGATTATTTACATTTCAATACATTATTAGTTATAATGATTTTAAATAGGTTAAATAGCCCATAATTTATAAATAACACAATTATTCCAAATTTTGAAGTGAAAATTCCGAGAAAACGGAGCTTACCAAAATGGTCAACCAGAGCAAAAAAATGCAAGTTGAAAAAGGGGTATACCTTTGCAAAATTTAATTAAAGCATAATCTGACCTTATGAAATGGTGCTCTTTTATGATGATATACATGAATATCAAGTTAGAAGTGAAAAGCTTTTTTTGTTTCTGAGAAAATGGACCTTAACAAAACACTTAACCAACACCAATGCCAAAAAAGATGGTCATGACATAAGCTCTGCTTTTTGTGTGTGCAAAAGTGGAGCTAAAAATGATGTAAAAGGAGAGCTGTAATGGTTCTTGGGAACTGAACTTCTCCTCCAAAAGATTTATCCACTTGTTAAGTTTTAAGTTGATACCTCCAATAATTTTTGAGTAGTGCCTTAGACAAAATATTATATTAAGTTTGAAAATTTAGGAAAGGTAATTAAGAAACAGTAGAGGAAGCATTCATGAGATTTCACACGCAGATTAGCAAACTGACCCACAGTCTGACTCCAGTTTTACCCCCTTAAAACTCTGTTTACGGGGCTTTAATAATCTTCATAAAGTCTCTCATTATCAGCAGGAAAGCTTTACTGGTTTGTGCATTTCTAAATTTTTAGATCTATTTGATCCCTGTACTCTACCTGATGTGAGGTCACGATCTTCCTCAAGTGTAAAATCAGGTAGTGCCTCACCTGAGAGGTCAAGTTCAGAAAGTGGTCCCTCATCCAGTAATAGATCATTGTTACTATGTTTGTCTGAAATATCAAAAACATACGGCCTGTTATCCAATTATCAATAAACTAACATGTTATTCAGTTCATTAAATGCTGAACTTAAATCATACTTGACCAATTTCAAAGGTAACCATTCACTGTTCAGTTTTGTACAGATTATGCCCTTTTTTGACATTTCTGCCTTAGTTATAACTGGATTTTCCAAATTTCTAGGTTAATTTCACCAGTGTTATAGTGATTCCATGTAATTTCATTCCCTTTCCACTCATCAACTGCCAATAGAGCTGTGACATTTAGTGATTTACCTAATTCTTTTTACCTTTAATATATCTGTAAAGCCCCAATTCAATATTTTCAAATTACAATAGATTGTTAGCAACTGAAGTGTTTGAGAACTGAACTGAAGAAAAGATCTCTTTGGATGTATTACAAAAAAATAAAGTAGATATACAGACCTTTCCCTGTTTTCTCAGATTTCTCATCATCAGTAGAAAAGCTTGATGGTATGTGTATTTCTATATGTTGAGGTCTACCTGACCCCTGTGCCCCGCCTGGTGTGGCGTCATGGTCAGATAATGGTCCCTCCTCAAGTGTAAGGTCAGTTAGTGCTCCACCCGAGAGGTCAAGGTCGGAAAGTGGTCCCTCCTCTAGTGACAGGTCAGTGTTATGCAGGCAAAAATGTTTGTCTGAAGTACAAATTACATGTTATAATTATTACAAAATTTACAAAAAAATTACATGTAAATAAATTAGCTTGGCTTCATGGTTTTAAGTGGCACACTGCAGATAAGTAAAATAAATTATCATAAAATTAAACTTTGTTAAATCTAACTAGACCTATCACTGAAGGTGATTAATACCCCCACCAGCAACTTTGACTTTTGAAAAATAAGTTGTCTGAAGAAAAATTTGAAATAAACCTATAGTAAATAAAGTACCATCAGCACTGTGTACAAAGAATTATTTCAATTTATTGCAATCCCAAATAGGATCTTGATATAACTTATAAGCTTGCTATACACCAAGTTTGATAACAATATCTCATTTCTAACCCTAGTAATTGTCTGGAAACCATTTTTCTATTTTTAGTAACTGTGACCTTGAACCCAGGGAGTCCAAATGCAATACCAAGCGCGGTCTTCATGTAAGCTTGCTAAACACCAAGTTTGATTACAATATCTCATTCCTAACATTAGTTATTGTCCGGAAACCATTTTTCTATTCTAAGTAACGGTGACCTTGACCTTGGCCCCAGGGGGTCCAGATGCAATACCAACCGGGGTCTTCATATAAGCTTGCTATACACCAAGTTTGATTACAATATCTCATTCCTAACTTTAGTTATTGTCCGGAAACCATTTTTCTATTTTTAGTAATGGTGACCTTGACCTTGGCCCCAGGGGGTCCAGATGCAATACCAACTGGGGTTTTCATATAAGCTTGCTATATACCAAGTTTGATTACAATATCTCATTCCTAACTTTAGTTATTGTCCGGAAACCATTTTTCTATTTTTAGTAACGGTGACCTTGACCTTGGCCCCAGGGGGTCCAGATGCAATACCAACAGGGGTCTTCATATAAGCTTGCTGTACACCAAGTTTGATTACAATATCTCATTCCTAACTTTAGTTATTGTCCGGAAACCATATTTCTATTTTTTAGTAACGGTGACCTTGACCTTGGCCCCAGGGGGTCCAGATGCAATACCAACCAGGGTCTTCATATAAGCTTGCTATACACCAAGTTTGATTACAATATCTCATTCCTCATATTAGTTATTGTCCGGAAACCATTTTTCTATTTTTAGTAACAGTGACCTTGACCTTGGCCCCAGGGGGTCCAAATGCAATACCAACCGGGGTTTCCACATAAGGTTGCTATATACCAAGTTTGATTACAATACCTCACTCCAAACTCTAGTTATCGTCTGGAAACCATGATGTGGACCGACCGACGGACGGACGGACCGACCAACCGACCGACAAGCTGACTCCTATATACCCCCCCTAAACTTCGTTTGTGGGGGTATAATAATTTTAATTGTAGAAAAATTCAAAATCATGACATTATTTACCACTTCTACCCAGGAAATAAAAGAGTAAGGGAAATTTATTTTATCATTTTAAGTAACAGTTTGTATCTTTGGCTAGGATTATTACATTATCTGTACACTTGATATTTTACTCATTAAGTTTTTATAAAAATTCAAACAAATCTTCAGATCTGCAGCTTTAATAATACTGTTAAATAATTATTATTTGTGTAACAGGAATTTTCGTGGTTTTCGTGGGTTGGTATTAATTGTCAGTTTGCACTTATTGTCAGTTTAACTGACTTTTAAAAAAAAATCTTTGATACAAATGTCTTAAGTATAGTACACAAAACAATAAAAAAAAAAGTTCTGATCACTAAAACAAGATGAATTATACATTCTTTTGTTACATTTTTACAGGTATTGAAATGATCCAATTTAAATGAATTTTAATCTTTATTTAAGCGACTGCTATTCTGTAAACATCAAAGAAGACACCCGACTTTTTTCAAGATGCACGCATAACTGAACTGAGCCATTTACTTGTATTAAATTATATGCATGTAAATTTAACACAATCAGTGTGACGTTGCGTGTAGTTACTGTCAAATATGGTAAGACTCATTCAGGGAGTAAACTTTTTAAACTCTCTGGTTAAAAAGTGTCAGGTGTTGTATAAATTATGTGATGTTTACATCTGCGAATATAAAATATGCAGTGTGTCCAATGGAGCTGCATATCATGTCAAATAAATGTGTTAATTGAAGTAAATTATCGGCAGTAACCGTGCTATCTTTGTGTTACATTCAGAGGGAAGGTGTGATACTAAAGATCTGTACATGAAGTGAGTAAAAAAATAGCGGGTGAGTAAGATTAATTTCCATTAGGTTATTTATTTATTCATTTTTTTTACATGAAAATAGAAATGCACGAATTCAAGAACCCACAAAAATGCCAGTTAGATAAAACCACAAAATTTCATGCCCATGAATATAAGTGAATTCCCAGTTGCACACATACAAAATGTTACTTTTGTCAATAATTTACAATATGTTTGTGTGTTTGTTAGTTTGTTTTTGTACACAGATTTCAACACATTATGTATAGATTTCATATACATGTATATCTTCACTGTCAGTCCACCTAACCAGCTTTGCTGGATAACTAACAAGTGCTTACCATTTTCTATAATTCCAAATGATTTCTGAATCATTGGTGAAAGACAAATGACCATTAGACTCAACAATAAACAAAATTATAGTTTTGTCATAGATCTACTACTCATACATTTAACAAACATTACCTGTTTTATAATAGTAAACAAAAACTTCTTCATAGACAGTTTTAAGAACACACTAGGCCAGCTCTAGTAATATGTTAAACATGAACTTACGTAAACCAGCAAGACTACCCATGGAATGAGCTCTATGGGGTGATTTACTGCCATCTTTTGTTCTATGTGGCTTATAACTAGAACTATCTTTAGACTTGGACTTTGGGCTGTGATTTCCAGTAGATTTCTTTTCTGTCAAACATAAATAAAACAAATGTTTGTTTTTTTTGTTGATATACAGTGAGCATCAATCATTTTTGCAGTCAACTACAGATCAGTACAGTAAAAGTGTATAAACCTACAAAAATAACTGTAAGATTTAAATGAAATAAATATGTAAATAAATTGCCTTAAAAGCAAATGGCACATGCACAAAATCATTGCTAAATGGATAAAACCCTACTTTAGATAGTACAATAATATTTTGTTCTGGAAATCATTTCATTCTATTTACATACAATATCCATTAACAGAGACATTCTATCAACTCTTTCAAGAAGAATTGGTCATAAGATTATTGAACCAATAAAATTTTACTGTTTTACATAAATTTGATGAAAATATTTCATAAGATATAGCTTTATACCCTTTAAAAATTGCAATCAAGATGAAAACAGAAAAACTTTTCACAAATTAAGACAATCTTGACATTTTGATAGCCAAGAGGTTTGCTTTCTAATTTTTTTTCCTATTCAATTACATTTTTAAATTTTGATAAATACCTTATGTACTTAATGGTGTATTTCACAGGAAACAAGGAAAGTCAAATTTTAAAGGAATGAGCAAGATTTAGGCATCTTAAATAAAGCAATGTTTCAAATTAATTATGTTAAGACTCACTTCATTTTCAAGGATAAAAAATACGTTTGAGTCTTGTTACAAATCAATATTCCAACATTTAATATAAACACAATGTAAAGCCACAATGTAAGACCATATCTGATTATTACAATAATTATACTACTAATACGCTACCATTTTTCTCAATATTTGCTCTAGCTCGTGCCTCTATTTCACTAGATACAGCAGCATTTGCTGCAGCTAGTGTGTTAAATGTTGTTGTAGCGAGCTCGTTAAACCGTGCCTGAATATGTTCTAACGTGTCTGCCTCCGATAAACGGTTAAATCTGGCCTGTAAATCATGTAACGTTTCTGCAGATGCTGAACCTACAAATATAAATGTTCGTCACTTTAAACATATAGGTGCCTCAGTGGCCGAGGGGTTAGAGTCGACGACTTCTAATCCAGTTACCTCTCTGGCATGGGTTCGATCCCCGGGAGATGCTTTGGTAGTTTAACATGGAGGAAGGTAGTCCAGTACTGGTGTAACTCTCCAGGAACGATGGTTAGGAAACTACCCACCTATATGACTGAAATACTGTTGGGAAAAGGCGTAAAATGAAACAAACAAACATATAGGTCAATTGTTATGACAACTTGAAGATTTTTGAGTTCCCTCCTAGAATAAATCAGTAATATTATTAAGTAAAGTATCAGGCAACAAATTGTTAGCCCAGTTAAGCTCACACCAATTAACTGCTGGTTGAGACTCTTGACATCTTAACCACTCAACAATTCAGCATATGTGAACAACATTAACAATACATTTTGTATACATACTAAATATAAAATTTTTTCTTCAAATATAACATTTGATATTAAACAAATACATTGTCTTCACAAAAATGTTTAAGAAACAACTGACTTTAAAATCTGATGAAGTGTTACATTAGAAACACTGTAAAAAATATAGAAATCTACCATGGAGTTTACTAGACTTTTTTGGAACATCAGTATCAGTAGATCTGCTTGGTTTATCTGATTTTGGCGAGAGCAGACTTGCGGCCGTCTCTGATACTGAAGCTGTGCCGGTTGTTGTTGTTGATGTGGATCCTGGAGGTCGGGGAACATAAAATCCTAGATCCATGTTCAACAGCAAATCTGTAATATATATCCTCAAGTCTGTGGTTAAAACATTACATACAATATTACACATTTGTTTTTAATAAAGTAATAGTACTTTAAATATTTTAATTATTTGACAAAATGAGACAGAATAAAAATAACAAGTATAAATTAATTTCTACAGAACAACCTTGATAGATAAATAAATTTTTAACAACTCTGTTAAGTCTAATCATCAGAGTAAGGAAACTGGCATTCCTGTATTCTGTATAAATTATAGTAGCTACAATACCTGCACTAGATGGCGTTGTATGGCGGGTAGGTCGTGACCTACGGGGCCACTGACTCTCAGAATCTTGTAGAAATTGTAAAAGCATTGTTTCATCATCACTCCTGCAAAAATATTTCTAAATCATTGTCCTGTACTATATAAAACAAATCAATAACTATAACCTTTCTTATATGACATAAAATTACAAATTTTATCCTGAAAAATATATTTTATCAGAACTAAGATGGCAGTTTCCCTTACAAAAACATTTTGCCAAAAAAAACTAAGAGTTGAACAATTTTTTTTTATATTTTGGTTTGGTTTTATGTTGCACCAACACAGTATAAGTCATATGTCCATTTTACTTGGTGGAGGAAGTCTTCAGGTGTTCTTCTGAGCATTAGTTCAGGCAGACACAGGCAACTGAATGAAACCGCTGATGTTCCATAATCTAGTTCTATATCCTCCTCAAATGAAAGAATCTAAAGACCCTGTAGGAATTCAACCCACTGCGGTGAGGGGCAGGTAGTTTGAAGTCAACCACTTGGTCATGACACCCCAAGCTGACCATAAAATAGTGTGTTAACAGCAATACTTGACAGTGTAAATTTTATGATGCCATCCATTCACCACAGGGAGATGATTTATCAAACATTTGGCATGTTCAGAACTGTTCAATATTTACAGCCACAGAATGGTATTTCGAGGTCCCTAGTTTGAGTCACTGTCAGGCTGCACATTTTTCTCACCCTGTGACATTTGGTACCCAACATTGGGCCTTGACTGAATATAGCTAAGAGGTTCATTTACATAGCTATGTAACCCTGAGAAATTTAGGGACGAATTTCTATATAATATTGCGAGGGAGTGTCACAGTTCAGAACTGTTCACTATTTAAGGGAGAACATGTGTAAGAGGTCAGATTGCTCAGTCGGTAGAGCCGGAAAACGGTATTCTGAGGGTCTGAGGGTTTGAGTCTCAGTCAGGATGCACATTTTTCTCAGCCTGTGACGAAAGATTTCGTATTTGTATCAAACAAAAGAAATCTTTCAACAACTCTTTCTAAATTCAAAAGTAATTCTTATGAAAGGCAAGTTCAAAAATACAAATCAAACCTTGTTGACTTGTTTTCGAGTATATTCATGGCACTAGACACTGGTATATTTGACAAGGTGGTCTCTCTATCCAGGTTATTACTCTCCTGAGTTTCTCTAATAGAGTTCTCAACATCATTGTCCAGACACCTGTATTATAACATATATTGATAAATCCTGAGGAATTTTTATTTTTCATTTTATGTATACTGAAAGTTCTTTATTTTTTCCGTTTTGTATACAGAAAATTCTTTATAGTTCAGTTTTGTATCCTAAAAATTCTTTATTTTTCAGTTTTGTATACTGAAAGTTCTTTATTTTTCCGTTTTGTATCCAGAAAATTCTTTATACTTCAGTTTTGTATCCTGAAAATTCTTTATTTTTCAGTTTTGATAAGAGTTTTATTAAGAAAGAATGTGGTTTTTAAGATTCTGAGTCGTTTTGATGTGAACAGAATTAACCACTCATTGTGGTCAATTCCAGCACATCAAAACGCCAAACCGGTGTTAAATATCCGATAAACACCTATCAGACAGAAATTATTTTTTGAATAACTTACATATTCTCCTCATCAACATCATTTTCTTCTGTAATTGAGTAACTTTCTAATTCATCTTGACTAACAGACAGCGACTCTCCCTGACTCAAATCCTGAAAACAGCCCATATACCAGTAAGTGTTGAAACATATATGCATTTATCCATCAATCTGTCACATAAGGTCAGTATAGCAAACTGCTATTTAAATGACATTATGATCATTTTTACATTGTCAAGTTGAGCTGAACGGACTATATATTTTAAAAGATTGACAGTTAAAAAGGTAATTGACCAATAGTTGATATTGGAAAATGTTTATGATAAAATATTAAAATATTCTTTTTATATACTGATCATTAAATTCTGGTAGATATTTCAGAAATTCCCTTGGGCCACGTGAGTTATTTATCGATTTTGCCAATTAAATTATCAAATTGAAAGGAACTATGACAAAATAAAAACTTATTTTGATTTTCACCTGTTCATTCACTACATACCCGTAAATGGGCATCATTTCAAAGTAAATTTGTCTTATTCATAAATAAATATAAATGCTATTGTGCAAGAGTTTTTATAGAAGTTCTCCTCTCAGATGTAGTTTCATTACATAATAGTTTTTTTTTTGTTGTAGTTGTTTTTTTACTTCAGAAAACAAAAAAATAGTAGTTGACAATCAATGTGTAATTTCAAAATTGTGTTTTGAAAAGCGGCTCAGGTTATATTGCAAACAACCGTTTATAGACAGTCACATAACCTGCCAGGAATATTTATAACAAATTTATAATACAACAAACTTCCTTCTTTAAACAAAAAACGTTTTTCATAAATCAACAGCAGTTGTGTATATAGAACTATATAAACGTCACTATCATCAAATGAAATGCAACATTACAAAACATGCAGTATTATAATAAACCAAACTCCTCACAGCGGTTACGTCACACTTTGCTACTTTAACCACTGCCACCACTGAAATCACATGATGATAGATGTATCATGTGACAAAAACATGGCGGCCAGTTTCAGAACGCCAAATGATCCCATATCCAACTGGCAGATTTATAATAACATCCTTTCCAGATAAAATATGTTCAAAACACTCAATTTGTTTACACTTAAAATCAAATGCCGGATCAAAATCTTTTGCGCAATCGTTCAATATGTCTAACTTCTGTCATTGTTTACCATACATACAGTGTCACAGTGAAAATATCTTTCGTTATGTTTACAAAATAATTTTTATATGTATATTTTTTTACTTTCTTGTACATTAAGCAAAACTATTTAATGAAAGAAAACTAAAATGATATCAAGTATTCTATTTTAAAATTAAAAGTGAAAAAAATATATCCGGCTATATTCGACCAAATTTACTTGTGGTGGCAGTGGTTACTGTACTGATCAGGGGAAGTAACCGCTGCGAGGAGTTTGATAATAAACGTCAAGATTATCCAATGAAATGCGACGTTTCAAACATGCAGTAAAATATAATAGAATGTATACCTCACTAGCATCACTGTCATTATCACTCTCTCCACCAGAACGTTCTATCTCTATCTCACATCCACCACTACCTACAGGCTGGTCACCATGGCAATATTTACTGTATAAACTATCTACTACACCATCATCTACCAGTGATATAGGTGAATCTGAAATAATAGCATCATTTAATATGTTTGATTTGGTTTTAACAGTTACACTTATCAGATATCAGATTTAAAGCACTGGTAATATTTTTACCAGTAAAACCAATTTCCCCTTTCTCAATGATGACAAAAAAATGATTTACTCAATCTGTTAACATAAATCAATGTAAAGTACAAATTAACTTAGACATTAATCTGCTATATCTGAAAAAAACATGTTCCAAGGGTCAAGGGTGATACTGTTAATACAACCGATTTTAACAGCATTTTAACCGATGGTTTGGATAGCTAATCGGTTAATAATGAAAACCCTGCTAGAGGATAAATTTAATACTGTATAGACCAAAAACACCTATCCTTTGGGTGTTTCTTGAAACAATATGCTGATACTTCATACAGGTTTTATTTAATTTCAGTACTTTGTTATCACGATCAAAGCCTTTTTTGCTGGAGAATTTATTAAAGAACAGTTCTTAAATATGAATTTATATATGTTTGGTAATTGCTAAGATTTGTATGAAAGCATTGTCACTATTTGTAACAATAAGCACATTAGACACACATGTTTCAATAGGAAATATCATCTCAATCTGGCCTATAACATCTGCCAAATTATCAAATATCCCCCTCTAAAAAAGCACACACAAAAAAAAAGAAAAAAAAAAGATATTTATAATGCTTAGACATATCATACCTCTAGAACTTCCTTTCTTGCTGGAATGTTTGTTTCTTAAAATTTCTAATGTTATCCTCTGAAACAGATTTATAGAAAATTATTCATACTGAATAAATGTATGATAAATCATCTTGTGAAATTTTCAGTTACATAACTTGTGAAAGTCGGTTACACAACTTGGTAAGTTTATCTTAACATTTATCTCTATTATATCTATGTTTCTTTAAAGTTTTATCATCTCTAAAATTTGTTAAATTTGTATGAATGACTTGTTTTAATTTTAACTTAAATGTTTTTATTGCATTCCTGATGTGAGAAGTTTTAACAAACTAATATAAAGCAATTACAAGTATTGAGCCTGGTCCTTCTGTAAGTACATATAAACTGGACTAGCTCCATAATAATGGCATAGATAAGTTACATTATTGCTGCCAGCTTTTAAAATGTTAAAATTTTACCTCTTTTAACTCATTATTCATGGCCAAATACTGACTGTTGGTAGCCTCTAGCTGGTGAATATACCTGGCATGCAAAAAAACACAAGACATTAAATAAATATCCAAAAAAGAATTCCAAAATTATTCAGGTTTAGTTATTCAGACTTAAAAATCAAGAAATATTAATGGATTAAAAGCATGAATCAAGTTGTAAAATAGTGAGTAAATATAAAATAAAAACAACTTAACAGGGTGCATTATGATGCCAAAATTTGATGACGACACAAAGTAAGACAGACATGCTGATATAAAAATAAACAATCATACCATTGTTGATCTCGACACCTCTGGTAGAATGTTGGGGGTCGAACCTGAAACCTCAAGGTGAGAGAGTCAGACTCTGTGTTAAGATAGCCTTCTGTTGCCAACAAGTCCAGTCTGAAGAAGCGGTTATAACCCCAGCACTCACCAACCTCAAAGTCCGAGGCAAACTCTCGTACAATATTCTTACTAGAATCTCTAGATGCCTGGTGCACCATTTCTACTCTATATTCATACCTGAAATAACAATCAAACAAATATGTTCCTAAGTTAATCACTTATTAGATAAACAGAGAAAATACATTTTACTCCTTACAATACCAGATAAATGACAAAATGATCCTCTTACAAAATTCCACTAGAAAAAACAATTTGTCCAGAAAAAGTATAATATTTTTATTTTGTATGCTTTAAAAGTTGCACGCTGACTGAGAAATATACCAAACTAGATAGATACATTAAATAGTCAGAAATTGCTTAAAACTTAAGGGTAAAACAATGTCTCAGGTGTAACATAATGCTGTCAATACATTATGTGATAACACTTATTTAACATACCAAACATATTTTTTAAATTTTTTTATCAGTATTTTTTGTTTGTTTGTTGGGTGTTACATCACACCAACACTGTAGATGTTGTATGGCGACATTCCAGCTTTACTGATGGAGGTAGACCTCAGGTGCCCCTCCGTGCATTATTTCAGGCATAAGGCCATAGAAAATTAATCTTTAGACTCTCATCCAGGTTTCAAGAAATAATTGGGGCGGGTGGGTGGAATTTATAATTTATAATTTATTTTATCCATCACTTTTAAGACCTGAAAAAACAGAAATGTATGAATAAACAAAAGTGTTTAAATCTGCAATGGCAAAATTTTTCAAATATATTGATGAACGTCGCATCATTTCCACCCAGATTTTTATCAAAACTAAACCCAAACCAATCACAAACAGTTTTCTTGTTTACTGCATCATATATTTCACATATGACGAACATCGAACATTTTGACAATTTTACTGATAGAAAACGAACGTATTTAAAATCTTGATCACTAGACGCTGTATACCTCAGTCTGATTTTTATGCGTTCGTCCCGCGAATATTCGACCACGATTTTCGGAAGAATTTTTGTCCACAGACGTCTGCGAAATGAACAATTTTTTTTTATGAAAATAAATTATTTTGGAGCGGAAAGATTTTGATACGGGCGGGCGATGATGAGAGTCTAAAAATTAATTTTCTGTGGCCTAAGCATGCACCTGAGTTGAACCACCAATGTTCCAAAAGCTAGCTGGATAGCTTCCTCAAATGAATCTATAGTCCCTGGCAGCTGGCAGGATTCAAACCTACAGTGTTTAGGGGCATGTGGTTTGTTATCAGTAATTATTGTGCATAAATTGAAAAAGGATACCTATGTAAATAGGTATCTACACTTAATATTTGCCATAAATTCAAGTTAAAGACTACCCAAACTTACTTTGATGTTTCTGGTAGTCCAGCTGATAGTTCCAGGAAAACAGACAGGTAGTTTCCTCTCACTACACCATTACCATCCTACAATATATTATATATGCATTATATTCAATAGAAAAGTAAAGATTAGGCTTGGTTTTTGTTGATAAAGACTCTAACAATGTACACAATCTGCGGATATAAGTCACCAACACTCAGATTTTTAAAAAAGATTTTTCTTTGCTTCTAGTTAATGCATATGAGGATAAAATATATTTTGATATTTAAAATGAATTAATCTTAATCTAAAAAACTGTAAAAACCTGCAGTGAAAAAAAACAAGAGCTGTCGGTCGGACAGCAACGCTTGACTATTCTTAGTGCTTGATAGTAAAAAAAAACCTTAGGTAAAAAATTTTTCAGTAGAGAAAAAGGCAAAATTTTTCTTTAAATCCATATTACAGTTATAGGCCTTGGAGAGTGTCCTATTATGCTCTCAAAGAAGAGTATAAAATTTCAACATGTTTCAAAGCCTTATGTCAATGAACTTTGAGGTATTACAAAAACTTTAACGTAAATTCTAAGTCGAAAAAGGGGCATAATTCTGTCAAAATGCTTGATAGAGTTACCTCCTCCTGTCTACATGTTGGGGTCATGATGTTGAACAAGTGTGCAAAGTTTCAAAGCCATATGTCAATGGACTTTGAAAATATTCGAGGTATTACAAAAACTTTAACATAAATTCTAAGTCAAACAAGAGCTGTCGGTAGGACAGCATCGCTCGACTATTCAAAGTGCTTGATAGTAAAAAAAAATGCTTGATACAGTTACCTCCTCCTGTTTACAGGTTAGGGTCATGATGGTGAACAAGTGTGCAAAGTTTCAAAGCCATATGTCAATGGACTTTGAAAATATTTGAACTATTACAAAAACTTTAACATAAATTCTCAGTCGAAAAAGGGGCATAATTCTGTCAAAATGCTTGATAGAGTTACCTCCCCCTGTCTACAGGTTGGGGTCATGATGGTGAACAAGTGTGCAAAGTTTCAAAGCCATATGTCAATGGACTTTGAAAATATTTGAACTATTACAAAAACTTTAACGTAAATTCTAAGTCGAAAAAGGGGCATAATTCTGTCAAAATGCTTGATAGAGTTACCTCCTCCTGTCTACAGGTTGGGGTCATGATGGTGAACAAGTGTGCAAAGTTTCAAAGCCATATGTCAATGGACTTTGAAAATATTTGAACTATTACAAAAACTTTAACATAAGTGGTTACGCCGACGCAGACGCCGACACTGACGCCGACGCTCGGGTGACTGCAATAGCTCTACTTATTCTTATCGAATAGTCGAGCTAAAAAGGGGCATAATTTTGTCAAAATGTTTGATAGAGTTACCTCGTCCAGTCTACAGGTTGGGGTCATGATGTTGAACAAGTGTGCAAAGTTTCAAAGCCATATGTCAATGGACTTTGAAAATATTTGAACTATTACAAAAACTTTAACATAAGTGGTTACGCCGACGCTCGGGTGACTACAATAGCTCTACTTATTTTTATCGAATAGTCGAGCTAAAAACAATTGGTACCATTTTTCTTATTTTATCAAGTTGTTATAGTGAGAAATATATCATACTTTTTATTTCAATATCTATAACTGTAGACGGTATATTAAATAACATACAGGATAAACTTTAAGTCTCCAGCTAAGACCATTAACTTGTAGAGGTTGACTATAGAAAGGGTCAGCCCTCTGCTGTAATGCTCCAAAGTTATTCATCACAAATGTACTACTGTCATACGGAGGTACAATCTCACTGGTGAAATCTGACGGTACAGGAGCTGTCACAAATGATGCCATAGGTCGTCTATGCATCTAAAAATAAAACAATGTCCTATATAACAGTTTGTATCAAATATGTATTTAGTAAAACAAGCAATTATCATAGTATTGCAAGCAATCCATAAGTCCCCTACCGGATAGAACCCCATCAGCATTCTGAAGGGCCATTGGCCATTCACTAACGTGTAAATTTTTCTCTATTTTAAGTAAATTTGTTGGAAATGTTCTTTAAAAGTGATCACAGGAAAAAGTTTTTATGAACAGACAGACAGACGGACTGAAGGACACTCTAAAATTAATATTTGAAACATCCCTGTTACCAAAATATAACATTTTAAAAAGCAAAATTCTTAAAGAGGAGATAACTCTGGAATTTAAGATGGAATTTCATAAAAAGTTTCAGCTCTTTTTGACTAATCACAAATATTGTTATATTTGCCATGTTTTAAGCCTATTTGTTGCCAAGGCAACCAATATTTTTCAAAATAGGAAAAACAGATAAGACATGCATCATCTCAAGACTGCCATCTACCCACATGTCAAGTTTCATAAAAATATTTCCAGTACTTTTTGAGTTATCACTGGATTCAGTTTATGTGTAAAATTTGCCATATTTTCAGTCTATGTGTTGCCATAGCAACCAGAATTTTCAACATAGGAAGAAAAGAAAAAGATGTGTATAATCTCCAGACTGCCATCCACACATATTACAAGTTTCATAAAAATATTTCTATTAATTTTTGCGTTACACTGGATCCAGTTTATGTGTAAAAATTGCCATATTTTCAGTCTATTTGTTGCCATAGCAACCAGAATTTTCAACATAAGAAGAAAAGAAAAAGACGTGCATAATCTCCATACTGCCATCTATCCATATATCAAGTTTCATAAAAATATTTCCAGTACTTTTTGCGTTATCACTGGATCCAGTTTATGTGTAAAATTTGCCATATTTTCAGCCTATTTGTTGCCATAGCAACCAGAATTTTCAACATAGGAAGAAAAGAAAAAGACGTGCATAATCTCCATACTGCCATCTATCTATATATCAAGTTTCATAAAAATATTTTCAGTACTTTTCAAGTTATCGCGGGATCCAGTTTTGTGGACGGACGGACGGACTGACAGACAGACGGACGGACGGACGGAGGGTAAACCTAAAGTCCCCTCCGGTAAACCGGTAGGGGACTAATAAAGCACTTCATAATTATCTTTAAATTTCAAAAGCTATATTAAAGTGGTTAAGTCTACAATGGGCAGATTTTTCATACTTATTTCAAATACTGATAAAAACAATAGCAATGTATTACTTTGAAATTCTTATAAAATGTTGCTTGAAAAAATTTGTTGATAAAATTCTAAGTGATTTAGAATCAACATTAAAATGATGAATAATAATGTTCATGTGCTATATGGATACAAGTTACATCAGATCATGCATCTCACACTTGCCAACAACTTCCATGTATAATAAATGGTTTGTTGTTATGTCTAATACTAAATATTATCCAAGTAATTATTCATTGTATTACAGACCTTCCATTACTGACCAATTTACTTTAAAATCAAAGTTACTGAAAATACATAGGCATATCTTTTACTTGAGATCACAGTGAACATTTGTGTCTAGCTACAAAGATTTGAATTATGGTCTGTCATAACTGGCAAGCTTTTTTTGCTTGCATTATTCAGTTCAGTCAGACATTATATACCATTATAACTTAATATTTACTTCAAATACTTAGGAGGTAAGAATTTTATTCTAAGCAAAAATAGTTAAGCGGGTGTTTATGAGGAGAATACATGTTTGGTCACAGGTATACAGTATTCATTAAGCAGGATTATTTTTTTACCTGTTTAAATATGGCAAGTAGTTCGTCACTTCTATTGATAAGTTCAGCTTTACTGCTATGAGCCACTTGACTCTCTACTTTCTGTATTAATGAGTCTAATAACTCAGTTTCTTGTGTAAGTCGACCTCTTTGACCTAAAATACAAACAACACAAGTTCATACAACACAAGGACAAAATATGTCTTTTGTTTATAAACCTTTTATCTTACATGTTTCAGTAATCAAACACTAAGAAAAACAAGAACATTGATCAATCAGTAGGTTTAATTTAATCTTGATTTTGTTCAACTTAGTTAACAAATTTAATCTTGATTTTGTTCAACTTGGTTAACATGTTAACTTACTCATAGGTTTAACTAAATGCTAATTTTGTTGTACTTTGTTATTGAGTTAACTTACCCATCAGTAGATGTAGTTTATTTTTGAGTTGTGACTCTAGTCTAGCTATCATCAGCTCCACAGCATTCCGTATTTCACGTACTCTCTCATCTTTACCTGTTTTAACACTTTCAATATTTCTCTCCTATAAAAACAACATTGATGTTGATATTCAATATGTATTGTATATGTATATTCAAGATATAAAACAAGTATTAAATAAATAAAGTTTTTAGTAGGGCTTTTTAATTATCATGATTCACATAAGGTCATTTAGTGACTTTTTAAGCTTTATTTTTAAGTAAAATATTTTCTAACATTTTCCAATATAAGTTTATTAAATAAGGCCGGCAGGACCATTAAATCACAGGCATGATTTGTAAATATTTTTCTAGAGGGCTTCTATACAATGTTACACACTAAATACCTATGTTCTGACTTCAGATTTAGAAAATTTGTTTAAATTTCACTGTAATAATAAAAAGTGACACCTAAATTGACCACTGAGGTTAGTTTCATAAAACATTTTACAATGATAAGGGGCAACTATTGGAAGTCTATGAACTTAAACACTGGAATAAAGAGATCTGGGCAATCTAATATGTGTATCTACAGTACACACATCTATATTTTAAGATGACAACAAATAAAAGCTGTGTATAATAGTGTAATAGTGGTCAGGTTCTAATGAAAATCAATGCTTTACACGGAGACCAAATGATCACAAATTATAACTGGAGTAGATAAGTACTTACAACATCTTGCACAAGGCTTATCAATTCAATATTTCTCCTTCTCAGTGAGCTCAACTCCTCCATTACCTTCCGTAGATGTTCATCATACTCCCCATCTATTGGTTTAAAGGTGTGCCCAGAATGCTGAAAAATTCAACAAATACTCATGTATCAAAATGTTACAGATGGTTATTTTCTTTAAATTTTTTTATGAAATGAGCTCTTATATATTTATATTTTTTTTTAGAATTTGAACAATTTATTGATAAAATTTACCCTACTGGATTGTATAATGGACTAGCCCTGCTTCAAAGTAAGAACATACTATACAACCGACAGTACCATATATATAGAGCCTAGTCATAAGGCATGGTTATCCTAGACATATACTTGCAGCATATGTCTATTACTACTGTTGCTAGTGCTTAAAAAATATGAACATTATTTTTTATACTTAAGCTTGAGTTATCAGTTAAAATAAAGATGACTTCAGTAACTTGCCTAACTCAAACATGAATAATGTTCAAAAATAATTTCTGAGAAAATGAAATTTGTAAACAATGGGATTACCCTTTAAAGTGTTTGTATTTCCCCGCTGTTAAGAGGCTTTCAATTATTTTGGATTGAAAATCTAATAGCTTGATTTGAATAAAAGTGTGTAAGTAGTGGCATTATAACAAGATTAAAACCACAAACTATGAACTTACTTTTCCACCCCATAATGCACATTGGTGACAAATACACTGTTTACATGTTGTACAATATACACTGATCTTTTCCTTGTGTTCTGAACATCTAAAAAGAAACAAATATGTTTGTTTTGTTTACTACAGATTTCAGTTACACTGACACATTCAAGACTTTGTTGGGTTATTTTTGGTTTTATGGCGCATCAACACTATTTAGATCATATGGCGCTGGAACAGGAAAGATGATTTCGGCTAACCTCGGGTGTTACAAACTTACTTTACTTCCTTAAAATCTCAGTACTTTTTTTTCTCAAGTTTGATTTTCCTGAAATATTTTGGCTCATCTGGAGGCATGCAGCTTTAAGAAAAGGGCCCCTTCCCCTACTTGTGATAAAACAGCACTGGTATTCTATACTTACTTAATAACGGTGGACTGCGTGTTTTATAAAAGAGTTTAATCTAGATATTATTTACTGCTCTGAGTCAATAACTGGTGGATGTTGTTTTATATAGAGTTTAATTTAGATATTACATACTGCTCTGAGTCGCCCTCTGATTTCAGTGGTACTGTATGCTGTAGTAGATCTAATTGTTGCGTCACTTCCTCTGCCCATCTACAGTTCACCAGTTCATTGACATGCAGTGGTGCTCTGTAAGACATAATACATTTAAATACATGCATCTATTCACAACATTATATATCATATCTAGTTTTATAACAATGACACATCTTTTCAAATTGCATGAGGTTGGTAAATATAACAAATAAGTCATAAACCAAATTTAACTGCTTTCTTCACTTTTTACTTTAAAGGGACTTTCCTGAGGTCCATTAACATGAATGGACTGGGAAAACTGTTTTTAAAGATTTTTTTTTATTCCATTTCATGTAGGTTTAAACCAATAATTTGTGAGCAAAATTTCAAATCATTCCCTCCCTCACTCACTTGGTTTATCCAGAATAATGATTTTTACTGTTCAAAGTTGCTCAAAATTGAAATGATTTTAACTAAAAAATTGATTTTCAATTTCATTCACAGTATATTTCTTTATTATCTTTGGCATATTTGAATTTTTCCATTTTAAGTGGCCCAATTGATTTATATAATAATGTTAAAATTTATGGTTTTTTTTGGCTCTTGGACCTTGGTTGAGCTCCCTTTAAAAGAAACATTGTTTAAACTATCCCTTACCCCATTGAATTTGCATTGGAACTTTTTCTTTGAATTTTAAACTTGATAACACATAGAAAATGTAACACAATTTTGTTTATTTACAAAAGTAAGATTTTATCAAGTTTTCTATCCAATATGACAAAATTTCATGCTAAGTTTGAAAATAATTAATTATTGCATTAAAATCGCTAGCACAAGTAAATCTAAAGAATAACATTTCAGAAATCATGTTGTTATTTTTATATTATTTTTATGTTTAAATTTTTACTAAAATTAAAAAAAAAAAAGAATTGCTCATAATAAAACTACTGGCATGCGAGCAGTTCCCGTACAGAAGCAGTACCCGTATTTTTCATTTAAACGCTTGATTTTTACTTGCAATCTTCAAAAATTCATTTCAAATCAAGCAGATGCATAACAGAGACAAAATCTAAGTGTCAGTTCGGCAGTACGTATAAAAGTCTCATTTTAAATCACTTTCACCTGTGCGTTGTCAAAACGTGACCTTGTTTGCTCTGGGGGATTCCGTCCTTGCACGCATGCGCTAAAATACTTACACGTGAGGCCTGTTAAAGGGTTTTCCACTAATACCACCTGTTTACAGATAAGTAGGCAATGTTATGAAAACTTGTTTAATTATCAGAATTTTGATCAATATTACTATATTAAATAATTCTATGGCTTTGATGCGTAAAATAGCATGCATACAAGCATGCCATTGCACGAGAATGTGTTTTTTGGGGTAACGGAACCGGGTAATAGATACCAGCATTTAGTCTACGCTCTATTTCCTGAATTACATCTATTTATCTCTTAGAAAATGGTCTGTTCAACAATTATAATTGAAAAATAGGTCCGATATAACAAAATTGTATAATTATAATGGGTTAAAGTTTATGTACGGGAACTATACTTCTCTTCATACAAAATAATGGATAATTTCGGTACCCCATATGAGGCCTCATAACTAAGGGTTATTCTATGTTTAGAACATGATGGAATTTCCATGATTTGTGTGACGAGCCGAATAGTGATGTGTAAGATTCAAATTTTGGTGAGTGAGCGTAATAAAAAATAATGTTTAAGTAACTACGATTTTTGTACAGGAACTGCTCGCATGCCAGTAATGTGTTTTTATCTAATACTGCAAAATCATTATTATTCGTGGGGCACTAATGTGTGTGGATAGGTTAATCCACCAATTTAATATGCAATGAAATTTCATTTTGTCTGCTGTAAGATTATTTTGCATCACATTATTTACATTTCACCATTTTGAAAAATAGTCAGACCACAAAATTAAAGACCCAACAAAAATGTTCTTTATTACATAACTACGAAATTTCATGCCCACAAAATTAAGTGAATTCACAGTATTAGATTTGACTGAACAACATTTTATCTAACACAACCAAGAAAAATATCATGTATATGTCCTTGTTTATTCATGTATACTGCTTCTAGTAAAAGATTAATGAAAATAATATACCTGCAGTGTGGGCATTGCATTCTAGTTTCTGTTAACCATCTCTGTAAATTAACACATTGAAACAGATGTTAGAAAAGATCACAAGTTTGTTGGCAAGCAGGTAATACAGCACTTGTATGAATTATTAAACTGATTTGTAAATGACAGATGTCAGTAAAGTCATAGCACATTCTTGTAAAGCAGACACATTAAAATACATCAACATAAAAGACATTGTGTGGGGTTTTTTTTGCTTGTTTTTTAAAAAAAAAATTTTTTTAATGAAACCATCGTGTTTTTTGTTGTTGTTTTTTTAAAAATGAAATCATGAAAATATATTTTTACTTTTACCTGATCATATCTTACCTTAGAGCAGTAACAGGTTAACTTTTTATTAAATTTCAATAGGAGTTAACCTATTACTGCACAAAGATGATGATATTCAATAATTTGCATCCTCTAAATTAAGGTAATACATTGTATCCCTATAGCTTAAAACATTTCTATCTAAACTTTATTCTTTTATCATGTATGTCTCAATATTGTGTACAGAAGACTGCAGTGTCTATTCTAGAATTCCAAAAACAGGGGGTATTTTTATGGAAAAGTGAGAATTTATTACATTTGTTGATCTTCTTCCTTCTTTCTCTATGTAAAATTTTTCCCCTGCCTCTGAAAAAAAAAGTGAATTCTCCACCCAACCTCCCTACCCCTCCTAGAATAGACACTGAGACTGAATATGAACATATAGAAAACATGACATGAATTGTTTGGAAAGTACTAAACTTAAAATGGCCAAAATTCTACATTTCATTTTTTAATAATTCTTATTATTTTCATTAAATTTTGATGATAGATAAGTGCAGTTTATAAAATATATTAAAGCTGCTGTGAAACATAGATTTTATACATATAAATGTGCAAGCCCTAAATATGAACTGATCTAAATTTTAAAATAGCCATGGTAAAGCTTTTGAATTAAAAAATAGACACTACATTAGTAATTAGTAGGAATAACAAAAATATGATGGTATAACTCAAAATAACATCTGAAAATGTGCTAAGTAAATAAGTAAATACTGGGTAATTCCTACAATTCAAGCAAATCACTATTATTATAACAATAATATAGTAAATGAACACAAACTATAATCTTGAAAACAACATTTATTCAAACATACCCTGATACATGTGTAGCAGCACAGCTTTGAACAGTGAGGACAAAGTCTTGCATCTCGAAGCTTTTCCATACAAATAAAACATCGAAACACTTCAGACAGGTTCTGAAACAAACAATAACAGGAAAATAGAATTTCTGAAAAGTTAGTTACTGTGCCCATTTTATTTCCTTACGTTGAATCAGAAAATGAAAATCATAAGTTTGTATGCATAATGTGATTGAACTTTACCTCAATATATTTACTTTCTTTAATTATCATATCATCATACAGGGGCAAATTGGTAAGGAGCAATTTAAATTGATTATGAATTTAATCATTAACCAAAAATTTAATTGCATCCACAAGACTTATAAAAGGATTTTATTTCCACATTTAGATTCAATATAAAATCATCTGTCCAAATCAACAATTATGATTAACAAATACTATCATATCTTTATCTTAAATTACAAGTACATTCATTGATGAACATACTGTACATAAGCAAATTTTAATGTCACAAGTTTATTTTCTTACAACATCTGAACTACCCATTTCAACGGAATGAATGAGTTATAGCCGCCTAAGTCATACTATGTCAGGGCTCTCGATTGACACGGGGATCTGGGTTTTGACTTGTGAAAATCAGGAAATGCACAAATTTGACACGTGATAAAATCTGCACAAGAGTCAATTTGCCATGTGGAATTTTCAGCTATGCAATAATAATTACCTTAAATCCAACCCTAATTACCTATCAAATACTACATATGTTCAAATCACACTCAAAAAAATGTCACCGTGTGTAATACACAGCATTGTTTATAGTGCGACATTATTGGATGCAATTTGACAGCGCTAAAAATAGCTCTACACAACTGATAAGACTTACATTCTTGAGGTGGCTTTTAAAGGTTTATAATACGTCTTTGATTTACTTGGAGTGCCTGTACATTTGTTATTTCTTTTTCCATTAAATATTCCTAGTGCATTTTGGTATTTAAAACTAATATGATATATAGCATACCAGTTAAGATATTTTTTTATATTTTATACATTTAATCAGAAAAGCTGCTGCTTATTTTATTCTTTCACAGTAATGATGCAATTCATTTTTTTTATTTGTTTAGTTTTTTTGTTGTCTTTTTTTTTGGGGGGGGGGGGGGGGGGAAAGGGTATATATACATGTACATTATAACTAGGCATTTTTTGCATGTTAAATATTATCAATTTTGACTTGAGAATCTACACAAAATGACCTCCAATACAGTAATTTTTGTAACATAAAAATGATTTAAAAGACACTAGAAAAAAATATTTGACTCATGAAAATTTTGGCCAAAGAGTCTTTGACTCGTGAAATTCTGACCCTACTGACATCCCTGTATGTTATAAATATTAATTCATTTCCTATTATAATCTGTATTTTATACAAACAAAAATGAATATTGCTTTATTTGGGTATATATGAGCAATATTTAGGTGTATTTAGGTATCCCTGTTTCTCGTATTATCGCGGTTTCTCGTATTATTGTGGAATAATTAAAACAGATGGAAGCGACGCTCGCGACTTCTGTCAATATCTGAAAACTTGTCTATTAAGCAGAGCTGTTTTATCTTGGGCAAAAATAACGAAAGAAATGCGACAAAAACAGATAAAAAAACAAAATAACTGTGGAAATTATTGTTTTTTTTTATCAGTTTTTTCCCTAAAATCATCAATTTTCTAGTTTTTCCATGTTGCAGAAACCAAGGCGCTTCAAATGACAGTCTCACACTACTATATATACATAATACAATACAGCTCAAAATATTTGTTCCACAAATATATTATACAGAATCATATGAACTCCAGTTAAAAACCAATAATGAAACATTGTTTATCCTTATCACTTTTTATTTTTGACAACAAAACAATAAAAAGACGTGTCCCTACAATGGAAATCTGTAGTATTCATTGCTAAATGCTCATATATATAACTGATAAGTAAACATGAACTTAATATATTCATTTTTAGAGGGATTATGTTAACTGTAAACAACAACACATAATTGAATTCAAACTATTTTTAGAACTAACCAAGGTGTTATTAAAACACAGAAAAAAAAGGAGCTAAGCTATTTAACACTTTATTAGGAGGCAGACCAATGATTTGAACTGGTGTGTAGAATAAAATAATCACATAGCTGCCAGCCTTAACAACCAATCAAATTCCATGATAATGCGAGAAAGCACCTGCTTCACATAGAGAGTGAAGGTCAGTATATAAAAGCAGAAATATCTTTTGTTTTTCTTTCAAGGTTACTGTACATTTAGGTTCTCATTGACCGCCGTACAGTGACCTACTTTTCGGCTCAAAATTCATATCTTTGGCTAATACTCCGTGGAAATTGCATGGAGGTAAATTATCACCATTTTGTGCTTCAAAATTAACTCTTTAAGGACATGACTGGTGACATGTCCGGGGTCCGTACTCGACAGCGCAAGCTGCATTTTGTGCCCGGAAGGGCGGATGGACCCTCATTAAGCTTTAACTACATACATTGTTTTTCTTTCGGTTATGATCTTTCTTCCTTTCTAATGTCTTTTTTTCAGGGTATCAGGCTACAAAATACTGTACCAAAATGTTTTAAAAAAATTATCCAACCAAGTTTAGTCCTTAGCCCCACGATAATACGAGAAAACATGATAAGGATAAGATAAGTTTTATTTCAAGTCAGCAAGTTTACAACAGTACAACATAAGCTCTAGGGAGCTTTTATAACCAACTGCATATAACATTAAGCATAAGATCAGCAAAGATAAAACAGAGCTCTGCAATAAAATTGATCAGACATGATGTATACATTAAATAGTCCTTTTTAGATAAAAATGAATCAGATGCTAAAAAAACTAAAATGATAGTTTACTTAATTCTACATTACTAGCTTGTATATTAAATTATGCTTACAATGTCCAGTATCTAAAAAATTTTTTACTTAAAGTTCAATAATTTACAGATTAAACAATTAAAAATCTAATGAATAGTTAAATAAATAAATAAAAATACTAAAATAAAAAAACCAAACAGTTTTTTTATACATAATTTAAATATGAATGACTATGGGTTATCAAACAAATACACAAAGACAGAGGGGATCATACATGTATTTCGTGCCGCCACCAGTATAAGCAGTTCTAAGTGTTTTGTAATCAATAATTATCAATTCATGATGTGTAGTAAAAAGTGTGCAACTACTGATGGTTCAATAAATATGTTCAATTCAGTGAACTGTATTATAAAATCTGTCAAAGAGCTAGCTGTACGTCTTTGCCTTTTTCAAATTAGACTCTCCATAGGTAGCACACCACAGTAATGTAAGCCACAGCTTCGAATGGCCAGGTAGGATTTCTTGGATATAGTGAATATTCTGGATTTAAATGACTGGTTGTCTTTAAAATGCATTTTCAGCATAAAATTTGTTTTTGTGACATCTAATATGATCACTGGCAAATTCAAAAACATGGCCAGAAATCACATGCTGTTGATTATGAATGTCAAGGCCGCCATTTTTTGTAAACATTGCTTTTATACAGCATGCACGGTAAAAAGAAGTCATTTTACTGGGGGGTACAAACTTTTAGCAGTAGCAAAAAATCTACAAGGTTGAGGACTAGTTTCTTTGTGATATTTTGCATGTATAGGGAGTTGCTAAAGCAGAGACGGTGTTCCTTTAGCCTGTATATTTGCAGATATTTTTTGCCAGAGGGTCGAAATGTGTTGTTTTGGGTCTCGGGCCACTGTAGATTTTGGGCTTCAACGGAATGAATTGCAAATTTTTTGACTGCCTGCCTATTGCAGATGGGATAATTTCTTTGTAGATTTGCAATCTTATGTCATATATGTTCTCAACAAAATGTGTTTTCTTTTTCCAGGTTGTGTAGTTTGGTATCAGAATTATTAGACGTATTGCTTGTAGGACATTGACGGCAGGAACTTGAAATTAACTGTGGAGTGCTACCATAGCAAGGTGCTATCCGAAATAGTGCAACTTGTCAATTTCACATTTGATAATACCTCAACTGTATTCTGGTCGCTTCCTTGCAGCAAATGTGCAGTTGGTTGCGTATTAGAAAAGCCAGATGCCATCGTTATGGTATCAGATTCAAAATAAACCCAAAATTCTAATTTATCTTTAAAAATTTGACATTTTTGTTTCGTTAAAGCGAAAGTCTATACAGATTTCATGCCCGTTGTCTATACAAATTTATCTGCCGTAAACCGTCTGACAGAACGATTTTCAGCAAAAACATCCGGAAAATGGCCGCCAGCCGATGTTTTCAACGAGACGAGTATGAAAGGGAATACAGTGTTAGATATCATCGAGGATATGTGACCAAAGGGTTTCAGAAGTCTTGGTATGGTTATTTTGTTATATTTTTGTTATCATGTTAAAAGGTTTCTTTTTACAAGATTAAAGCTAACATCTTTATCAGTTTATATCTTTGCGCCAATTGCGCATAGATAGCTTAAGGTCTTCAGCGTACCCGTTTATATAATATGAAAAAGGCAAAGCCTCAAAGCGAGCTCGATGTACCTTTTACGTGAAATAGTATGAAATAATCGCTAATTTTAATTTCAAATGCAGTAACGAGTGCGTGTGACGTCACACGTACTGTGTTTAATATGGTTCCGCCCCTGTCGTGAAATGAATAACGAAGTTTTTGAAAACGTTGATAAAACTTTTGTTTTATTTTATTTCACTCTATAATTTTTTCAAGCGAAATAAAGATTATTTAAAAGCTGAAATAAATGTAAAACTTAATACGTTTTGGCCATTTAAAAAAGCGTACCTTTGATTTTGTTTGCTTTTGCACGTGCCTGTTTGCGCGCTACATTGTGTGACGTCACGTAGAACAATACTTTAAACGTCCTTGTACAGCGTTAACGACTGAATAAAAGATATTGGTGTTCGGATTTCATTTTCTTATGTTAGACCATTTTCTTTCATTCTAGATAGTTTTCACAACAAAATTCGACAAAAAAATTGTTTTTATTTATACAGATTTCACAACACAAATGGCGCTTACGATTTTCATTTTTTATACACAGCTTCGCTATTCTGGTCCCTGTCCAATTATGGTTCCCAATAAACTTGTGCGCGGGTGACACAGTCTCCCAAACACCATCCGTTTTTAGTCAAGAATCCTTCAGTTTTTATCCGTTATCTTTTAAATTCGAAAGGGTGGGGGGGAGGTCCTCCATGTGTCCAATTTAGCGTTACTTTGGACGAAAGTTTTCAAAACCATCACTTAGCAGGTACTCGCGTTACCGTAAAGCTCGCTTTGCGAGCAGGCCCTTCGGGCCAGCTCGTCGAGCTCGCTACTATGACATGACGTGAACCCGCATCAGATGAAAAACAAAAATGTTAAAGAGCGGCTTATAAAGTTTTGGAGGCCAGAACTAGCGCAAAGACAGTCTTGTGACGTTTTGTGATAAAATAATATTGTTGAATCTCTTACTTGTCATTAGCCTAATTAATTCGGCGTGATCGGTTTGACCCATTTTACAGACTTTTTTTCTTACTGTCAAACCGACAGCGCCCGTCCAAAATTATCTCGGTGTCTCTTTGACAAGTCTAATTAGTTGGACTTAAACTTGTCAATAACACGGACAGATCATCGTCATCATAATTTCGCAGATGTGGTTCAGATTTCGAAGGACCTCCAACAAGCACAGAAGTGCTTTACAATATCAAGGAAAACAGTAAACCAGCCAGTAAACAGGATAGTATAAAAGTCTACTTTCCCTTACGACCTTAGTTTCTTAATGGCAATTTGCAAGTTAAAACTCTAATATGTAAAATCTTGATCTTTATCTGTATACGGGTAGCAAGACAGTTACACCGCCGCAAACAAGCGGCAGGAACATTGATACCGGGTTACCCTTCTAACTGATTTTGCGAATGACGTGAAACCAAAGGTGTAGTCGCATGAATGATTGATTTGACCATAAACATTTTGTTTAATCTCTGTTATTCATTTAATATCAATAATCCATAAGAAAAGATAAAAATGCGAAAAAAAAATGGATTTGTGTATATATGTTATGAATTACGAACAGGGCGGACCCGTGAGGACAGGGTGGACCGATGTTTGGATGGGGCAGCATCCATATTTTGGACAGCGCGGACCCTGACTCAAGACGACGGCGCGTCTGGAAATTACAAACAAATTGCGCACCTATCCAGAATTATTTTTTTTTGGTGCGAAATAATTTTATCTTATTTTGACTCCTTTCTCGTGGCTTGGAACTTCCTTCAATTTTTTTGATTCCTCTTGACAATGTTATGTTTACATTTCATGAACTTTAAGATGCTGTCTGATTTAGCAATTGATTATACATTGACCAATAAAAAATAAATATATCCAAAACTGTGATTTTATTGCTCAATAACATCACTGTTTGGAGTTCGATGCGGGGAATATATCACGAGGGCGTTAGCCCGAGGTGATATAATGATGCGCATCTGACACCGAACGACAAAAACATGCATGCTATTCAAGCAATAACAATCACCGATTTGGGATATATTATTTCGATTCTAACACGACATCAACAAATAAATGCTGCCCGCTGCATGATAATTAGCTAAATTTGCGCCTAGATTTTGTCTGTAACTTATTGTCAGCGCGTCACATTTTTAGTGCGTTACGTCACGTGATATAATGATTACGTTCACATGTCTAAATAATAGAAACGTCAAACAGTGATTTTATAGCATTGATAACACCGTTTTCAGTTCTTCTATGTTCAATAGCGCGAAAAATGCGGGTTGTTGTTTAGAATTGTATTTAAAACTTATTCTTGGTTGTCCCTATAGTTAGTAAGGAATGAATAATATAAATAATCATTTTTCCTTTATTAAAACTTAAATGTTATGAAAGAAGATTATATAAAAAAATATTACAATTAAAAGTAATTTTGTCAAGTTTTATTACACTTCACGTGACCAGAACGAACCAATTATGTTTTTACTTATAAGATTTTTTCAATCCATTCCCCACTATCTTACCCTACCTATTTTATACTTTATTAATTGCAAGGGTACTGTAAATGTTAATACTCTAAGTATTCACTCGCTAATATACATTGTATAACATGTACTAGTATAAAATTATATTAATTTATTTATTTTAAACATTTTTTTGTTTTTGATAACATTGATATTAAAGATAAAAAAATAAATAAATGACAATAAGCAGTATTTAAATTCTTGAAATTAATTATGGCTTCCACCTCATCTCAGTCATGGTCCGCCCTTTTTCCAAGATATGGTCCGCCACTTTTCCAAACATATGGTCCGTTCCTGGCTATGGTTTGCCCCTGACTCACGGTCCGCCCTGTCCTACGACCATTGTTACTATCTTGTTCAATACTGGTCTTGGTGCCATATTAAGTTGTTTGCATGGGACATACAGCAGTTTTACCTTCTCGATGCCACATAAGGCAATATAGTTAATAAATCATATGAGCCTATAATAGCACTTACATTACACACATATTTTTATTACTTTATTGTGAATAATTGTATTTATCAATCATATGTACGGCCTACGAATGCAAATTTAATTATCTGATAAATAGAATTGATGACTGCTAATACAGAGAGATGTAGTGCAGATCAAAACCCATCATAGTAAGCAACAACAGTGTCTACAAAGGTCATACCTCTAGAACCTCTCAACACCTGTATAGCTGCAGGCAAATCTAAAAGTTGTTATTCATATTAAATGTATTCGAACTTAAGATTATTTGAATAACTTGGAGAATTATCCTTTGCAAGTCTATGTTTATTGCAGCAAGTGCTTAGAACTTGGCTTAGGGTTGTGTATGCAATATTTTAAATTCCATATTTTAAGTAACATAATCATTTTTAGCTTGATCCCTTAAAAACCCAGGAACAGTGTCTCTGTTTCATTCAATATAAATTATTGAAATGAGGAAGTTGCTTATTTTAATGTAAAATATTTATATTTACTTTACTATTGCAAGTATATAGCATTTATCTCCCATGTGTATGCAGGTGGACAGAGGATTAGTCATGAATGCTCAGTGAAATTTAAGAGCTTCAGGTCCTCATTAACAAGGATACATGTACATGTACATTACAACATGTTTATATATGAAATGGCAATTCTTCAGATTTGATACTAAATTTATATTATACTATTGTCAGTTCTATCAGTATGTCATCAACTTGAATAGCGAAATAGATCCAAATAATATCGCTGTCTACTCTATAATAACAAGAATACACAGAACAGTATTTTTAAACCAACACAAAACAAAACATCAGGGAAACATGAAGAAGCTCTACATTCATGACCTTTTTAGTATAATATTCAATCCTTGAAACAATTCGGAATTATTACCACAAGCTTTCTATCTGTTGACATGGCTAAATGCTTTTTTTTGTGCAGGTACCACCCCTCCTGGCCATCCTAAATTATTACCTTTTAGGTGCCATTGTATTGCATTTATATATATGTTGACATTAACCAATATTAAAATTCTGTAGTGCAAGTTAATTATATCAACTAGTATACCTGTAAACTTTGTAGCAGGGCAAGTATTTACTGCTGTCGTGATATGACTAAATGTTGTTGGAAGTAGATCCAAACCCTTTACCAACAATAAATTGTTTAACAATACATCTTTCTCTTCCATTCAAGCGTAGTAGCAGCAGTCGCAACACAGAGGTACCTTGAATGTGCAATTTTACAAGTTTTCCAGACAGTCGATTACAGCGACGGCTTTGATCAAGACTACTGTACCACAAATTCTTAACAAATCCCAAAAACAAAGCCCGCGTAACATCAACTAAGTATGTATTTCCTTAAACTTCATTATCATCACAACATATAGCACCAAACTCTGCACATTTCTGAAAAACTTATTTTTAAAGGTTGAATTATATTTTACCAACCTACTTTCAGAATGTCCAGAACTTTAGAAAACATTATTAGATTGCTTCAGTTCAATTTAGTCAGGTCATCCTGCCACCTCAGTATGGTCCCTATCAGTAGACAACTAATTTTGCAAGACATATTTAACTTAAAAAGGAACCAAACTAAATAGCATTTCACATATTTATCTATTTCAACAAAACCCTTCCACTGAAAATGCTTTCCTAACAAAACGTCTCAAGAAT